CTCTCTCTCTCTCTCTCTCTCTCTCTCTCTCTCTCTCTCTCTCTCTTTGCGCGCCCTGTAACTGCCCGCCCGGCCGCTGTGATAACTGTGGTAAGGGTGGCATGTAAATGGCAAAATAAATGTTTAATCATTATGAAATACTCGTATAATTATGGAATATGAACTCTCTCTCTCTCTCTCTCTCTCTCTCTCTATATATATATATCTCTAGGTCTAGGTCTCTCTCTATAATGAATTTAAAAGTAAAAACTGTAATAAAATAATTAGTATAAAATTATGAGCATATATAGAAAATAGTGAAAAACATTTGTGTAGATTTAAGATTAGATTAGAAAAAAAACTCATTTGTAGTTTAAAATGTTGAAAAACTATCAACTTGAATCCCTTTAAATTTTATCAATAAAAATAATATACCATGTAGTGTGTACTGTGAAAATCCCTCTCTCATAGCACTCCAATTAAAGCAAAACTTACATTACGGATTGTATTCTAAATAAAACAGCGTTTTCTTTAATATATTTAATAGATTAATTAATTTCATAACTTTCATACGAATTGATAGGACAGTACCGGAAAGCGTGTCATTGAATGCACAAAATTGTACGCAAAAAACGGTGTTATTTGTGAAGAGCTGCAACTGTCGGCACAGCCAGTGTTGGGCCACTGGACTATCGGTGTGACGGCGTTCAGACACAACACCACTAAGACATTCACTGTTATCGCCGACAATACGTTGCCCACGACTAACGTGGAGATAGTGTTGCCAACATATGTGACCGTAAATCAGTCACAAGTGGTGGCACTCGTAAAGGCATTTGATACCAATGGGAAGCCTGTTGAGGGGGAGCTCACTTTTTATGTTCGGGCCACAGTTAGTTACGCCCCTGGTACACATTTATTATAAATCTTTATATTTATATATTAATATTATTAAAAACATACAGTGTATATTATTACCTTAATGTCATTATTCTTTGTCTGACTTATAGGTAACTTCGAGACAAAGGCTAAGATTAACGGAAGCGTTACACTGACCGTCAATTTAATAGACAATTTGAAATACAACGCTCGACACGCATTCGGCTCTGACTTTGTATGTGGTTTCACTGCACGAGTGATTGAAGCGGTGACCGGAAAGGAGTTCAAAGGATCCAATTTTTAAAAAATATACGATAGGGACGTGAGGGTAGAAGTGGTTAAGCCGTCCGAGACGTACAAACCGCGGCTGAAAAACACGTTTGTCGTCAAAGTTGTCACACAAGACGGCAAACCAGTGGCCGATAGCGGACCGCAACTCAAACTCAAATACGGCTATTCATGGAATGAGAGTGAATGGACAGACAGTCCAGTATTTGTGTCGCCAATCAATGGATTTATTAAGTTTGATGTCTTTCCGCCCAGAGATATAGACTTAATGGTAGTTAAAGCCAAATATATGAGACACACCTATGATTTAAAAATTTCGAAGGCTAAGACCCGGTGCTGGCACTACATGCTAGTGATCCGTACGGACACAACCACTATTACTGTCGGACAGGAAGTAAAATTTATGGTAAATGCGACCGAACCTATAGTACGATTGGTGTGCGAAGTGATGGGAAGGGGAGACATAGCGTGGGCTAAGAGTTTTGACATTCACACCAATATTACGTTCGGCTATGAGTTCAGTGTTGCGACTGTCAATCAAATGGCGCCGTCGACTCGGGTTCTGTGCCATTACGTGCGGCCCGACAACCGGGAAGTGGTGGCCGAC